CACGTCGTCGCCCGACGGGGGCCGTAGGCCGGTGCTGGCACCGGGCGGGTTGTTGAGCTGATCCGACGACGAGCCCGACGAAGTCGACGACGAAGCCGACTGCGACGTGGTCGTTCTTGTGGCCATCGACCTGTGTTCGTGAAATCACCCAAAAATAAGCGAACGAAAGAGCGAAAAGAGAAAAAGAACGAGAAGAGGAGATTGAAGGCGCAACGTACGTCGAAGGGAGGGACCAGTCGGCCTTGCCGCTCGACGAAGAGGAAGAGTTGGTGGATGTCTTGGTGCCGAGCCCACTCGAATCGCCCAGCATGGAGCTCAGGCGCGTCATGATCTCCAGGAATGTGGGACTGGTGGGGCACAAAAAAACAACCAAAAGTCAGCCTGGAGGGACATGAGGGAAAACGATGAGATGCGAAGTCGCGCACCGGATGGAGGGGTCCTGGTGCCAGCACGTGGTGATGAGGTCTGCGAAGTCGGTATGGTCGGCGTCTTCGGGGATCTCGGGGCGCAGCGAGTCGCGGATCACGGCCACTGCCACCGCCGCCGGGCTGCAAAGAAGGATACGTTAGTCGTGCGCGCGTGCGGCGGTGTGGTGTACGTGGTGCACCTCATGCCGTAGTAGGGCTGCTCGCGGGTGAGCATCTCCCAGAGCACGATGCCAAAGGAATACACGTCGGCCAGGATGTGATCTACCGAGTCAACCTCGTTGAGAATCTCGGGCGCCGTCCAGTGGATGCTTCCCTGCACCTGCTGCTGCGCACCGCCGGTCTTCTTCAGGTCCTCCTTGAACTTGGTCAACCCAAAGTCGCTCACCTGATATCATTGAATTCAGATTAGCCGGCCGATTGGTTGGTTGGTTGACATTCTTCAATAAAGGTACATACCTTAACGTTCCACTTGTTGTCGAGGAGCAGATTGAGCGACTTGAGGTCGCGATGCACGATGCCCGACGAGTGGAGGAAGTGCATGCCCTTGGCCGCCTGGTAGGCCATCTTGTATCGGAGCTCCGTCGGAATCTCCGGCACCAGTTCGTTGTGCAGCAGCTGTCCGTCGCAAGGCAACGTAAATGGTTTACCGATTCGGCACAGTTATGAGGGGAAAGAGGGGGGCAACGAACCTCGAAGAGCGAGCCGAGGCCCATGTACTCCATAACGATGCACATGTTGGGCGCCTTGGTGCACGCCGCCATGAACAGTACCACGTTGGGATGCCTCAGCGCCGTCATCACGCGCACCTGCATCATCACCCGCCATCAATTGAGTGTGTCTTGTGCTGTGTACCCTCTGCTGTGTGTGTGTCGTGTGTCGGTGTGCCGTGTTTACCTCGTCGCGGAAGTTCTTTTCCATTTCCTTGGTAGAGCGATCGGACGAGGCGAGGACCATCTTCTTGACTGCGACCTCGGTGCCCTTCCACGTGGCGCGGTAGACTTCCCCGAATCCGCCGGTGCCCAGCACCGTGCCGAGCTCGAGCTCGTGGTCGAGGTCGATCTCCCAGTCGTCTCGCCCGTCCTTCCGCCGTCGCGCCAGCACGACCACCACCACCGCCAGCAGTAACAGCACCAGCAGCACCAGAAGCCCCACCGGCAGTCCCACTCCTGCACCGCACGCGTCAACAACCACGCGCCACCGCACACGCACACGCACACGCACGCACGTACCAAGTCCGATAGCCAAATTGTCGGCGGAGGAGGAGGTGATGATGGTCTCGCAGTGCACACCGGAGTAACCAGACTCGCAGATGCAGGTGCCGAGCTCATCGCTGCAGAGGCCCTCGTTCGAGCACAGGGTGCCATTGATGAGGCAGTGCTGGAACGGGACCACGAACTCGCCGTCGCACTTGAGCGCCTCCAGCTGCGTGAAGACGTAGGTCTTCGTGGCCTCAATTTGGTTGGCACTCACGCCGTAGGTTCTGTTGCAGAGCAACAATCCCAATAACCAATGGGGTGAGGGTGAGGGGTAGATGAGCTTAAGTTTCAGGTCCAGTCGTGTGAGGGAGAGATCGTACCGAGAAAGGTCAACGTCTGCGGTCTCGCTGGTCTGCGTCCAGTACACAAACTCGACGAGGCCGCGCAGCTTGTTGCAGTTTGACTGCTCGGCGTGAAGCAAGAACGAGGCCCACGCGACAATCGGCCAGCTGTGCTCCCCAGGCGCTGTCATCCACACCACCAGCATTATCATTAGTCTCATTATTCGGTTGTGATTTGTAGAGATTACGTACCCAGAATGAGCGGCATGAAGGCCATTTCGGAAGCGGGGTTGAGCACGAAGCTGTCCCCGATCGCTGCGGTGACTGTATCTTGGGAGGCAGCCACGACGTTGTTGTCGGCGTTGACCAGGCTCGCCATGTTGGCCGCTCGGGTGGCGATCACTTGGAATGGCGTCTGTGTGTCATTGATAGAATGTGTGTTATTGCCAGGCAACAAGCCAGATCTGGTTTGACGGCGCGCACCCAAAAAGTGAAGGAGTAGAGGGTTGTCTTCAGCTTTTGGGCCAGGTCAACGGCGGTCACGTTGGCCGTCCTGTTTGCCAGGTCCTGCACTGGAAACCTCACTTGGCGCCCCACCCCCACCTGCACGCGTCGTCCAAGCCAAGTCAAGTCAAACCCGGTCAACGTCGTGGGATGAAGTTAAGTTGCTCGTACCGTGTCGTCCCAGCCGTCGACAGCCACGCTCAACGCGTGCGTGAACAGCTCGGTGATATCGGACGGCTCCGAGAGCACGAGCACCATGATCTCCTGATCGGGCAGCGCGGCCGGCTGCGCAGCCAGCAGGTCGGCATTGAGCTCGACGATCTTGGGGTCGTTCCAGCGGGTCACGCTACCCAGGTAGATCTCGGCGATCACCGACAGGTTGAGCACCAGCGGTTGGTCGAGGCCGCTGAGACTCGGCAGGTTGTAGGCCGGCACGACAGCGATGGCCGCGGCGGGCAGGATGGTGAGATCGGGCACGGCTGTCGTGTTTAGCCCGACA